AATTTTGGCCAGTTTAAAAATTTCAAGAAAGGAAATAAATTGTAAAACGGGACACAAGTTTTTGGCAATCTGAAATTTGGACAGAACTTTTTGGTGATTTTAAATGTATATACATAAATCTTAGACCATTTATAAAAACTGAGAATATAGGAATAGGGAATCTGAAAATTTGAAATAATTTTGTTTGTAAATAAACTGCACATCGATTTTTGGTCACTTACAAACTGAACATAAACTTTTTGCCACTTATAAACAGTGTACTAAACTAAAGCACATTGAAACGCGGAAGATTCGATTTTTTTTAATTTCTTAAAATTTTGACAGAAGCGAGCATAAAATTATGGTAATGTTAAAGTTGGATTAAATTTTTGCTCATCTCTAGACTAGACATACATTTTTGGTAAATCAAACATTTTTTATAAATAAATTTTTTTCATATAAAAACTGACCAAAATGTTTATCATTTAAAATCTGAATATCAATTTTTGGCCACATAGATATTAGACCTAGATTTTTCAGCTGTTTGAAAATCTACATGATGAAGAAAATCGTTTTGAAAAGTAAGTAGATATAAAATATAAACCCCAAAAGCAGCCATAGTACTAAGTAGTCCTGACCAGATTTTTTCACTTAACATATACATTTTTTTCCTTGCCGGGTAGTTTTGCTCTATTATACCTGTACGTGCATTCATACATATGTACGTATGTATGTACACACATATGTAGGTACGTGTATCTACTTATACTTCCGTTTTGTTGATTTGTTCTATTTTAATTTATCGTATTTGCTACCTTTGTGTCACATTATTTAATTATTTCATAGGCCTCTGACAAGCACGAGTATTTGTGAATGGTTTGAATTATTTACTTTACACGCTACAATCAGTATTATCGGTACTTGAGTATTTTATAGATGGTCGCTTCGTTGTTGTATTGCCATCTGTTTAGGTTTAGTGAACCGGACGTGTGGTAGAAAAACATATTTTGCGCTAACCAAAATAATTTTTTTTTTTTTTATTTGTTGGAATTGAAAATGTTTTAGTGAAGCTCAATATGCAATTTTCCTATCCTACACGCCCGTTAACCTTTCCTCTTTTATATCAAATCCGAACACCAAAACTACTTAAGTAAATTTTCACCAAATACCTTACTCGGAGATTGAGACATTCGCCAAGGCAATGCAGAATGCAGTCTTCCGCTGTTTTTTACCGATTTCAAGTAGCAGGAGGTTTGCAGTACGTCGGAATATTGTTTTCTTTTTTGCTTATCCTACCTATCTCCCATATAACGGTAGTTTTCAGAAATACGAAAACTGTGATATTTTAGTAACTACTCAAAATTGATATTTATAATGATTTTCAGACAAAAAATAAGAATATCACAAATTTTTGGAAAATGGACGTAGCCCACATCCTATATAACGGTAATTTAGAGAAATACGAAATCTTCGATAAATCAGTATATACTAAAGCTAATTCATTCAAAATTTATGCTTGCGATAATTCTTTACCAAGACATACGTTTATGATAAAATTTTGGAAAATGGGCGTGGCACCGCCCACTCATGATCACACATACTATGTATCTCGGTAACCGTTCTACCAATTTGTACCAAACTCGGTATGGTTATTGTTCTTGCCACATAAAAGCAAACCATTGAAAATTATTGAAATCGGCCACTTTTCATACAACGGTAAATTTCAGAAATGCTTGAAACTTCAATATTTCGAAATTTAAGGACGCTAATTTACTCAAAACTGGTACTAACAACAATCCCTTGAAAAGAAGTAACATTATTTGGAATTTTGGAAAATGGGCGTGATACCGCCCACATACGACTATATAAGTGGATCTCATTATATCTAACTGAACGTTCTATCAAAGATATTTAAAATAGGGGTAAAACCACCATGTAGCGGGAGTTTTCGGAAAGGTGAAAAACAGATATTTAATACTTGCGCCGGGTACCCGTTACCGTTACCCGTGTTTCGAGCCACAGACAGAGTGAACTCGATATTCTGCTTATTTTCAGCTTTTGGTAGTAAAAATTTCAGTGCTGTTGCAGGGCCTTTGCTTGCATACTTATCGGCCACTATGTCTCGTGAGCTAAGATAGATTGACAATACAATCTCCAACATTTTAGAACACATTTGACTAGCTAGCTTTCGGGACGTACAACTGGCGCAGGAACAAGACAATTGGCGAAATTTTTTGATCTCGTCCCAAAAAGCCGAACGGTTTGCAGAAACAAATAAGAATAAGACGAGGGCGTCCTGTTTTTAAACTCGGCCAGAATCGCTTAGGCGGTTCCAAGAAGACGAACAAGTGGTTTCCTAGACTTTATTGTCAAAAGCTTTTTCATATTTAGAATCAGTATCCTAGTGAACTGCGGTTCCTTCTGATGATGTTGTCAAAAGCTACATGAGTGGGAGCCATCTGGGACCAGGTAAAACAAGATATACTACAGAGTTTATCAAATTTTCTAAGGCTACTTATGTGGCTAATTTCTCTGTAGCCAAAATTTTCTTTAAAAAATTAAGAGGCGGTAACCTTTTGCTGCATTAAAATCAACATGTTAAGCCACCCGTTGCATAAATTATAAATATCAACGTATGCACATTTCAAATATATGTATCAATTTACAAAACAGCTTAAAATCCACACAAAAAAAAAACAGAAACACTAGTCAAAAAAAATCTCGTGTCTAACTAGGAAAAATCAAAGTCGTTGACAAGCGTGTAAAGCAAATGATTTCTACGAGATCAAACGCAGCAGCAGACAAGGGGAAAAACCAGCAACTTTAACAAGTCTGGATACCTGAAGAGGCACCGAGAAGAGCACATAAAGATAACATTTTCAATATACGAGTATTTACGCAGGGGGAAGAGGGTACGGCAAGGTAAAAATTTCTAGTTGTATGCAACCGCCGCATAGGGGTGGTGCGAACAGTAGGGAGGAACTAAACATACGTACACACGTACGTACGTATGCGAGTCTGTAGAATGCACATTTCATGCTACCCGGTAAATTGAATTACAAGAGGAATGCGTACTATGGAACTTCATACGCAGGCCATAAAGTAAACGCGAACTGCTTAACCGAATGTAGTGGAGTGACAGCGACGCTGAGCATAGTTGATAATGAGGATGTCACACGAATTACATAATACAATCATAACATCACTGCACTAATAGGAACAACATAAACCAATTCATACCCAACAACTGTGATGATAACTGTCAAATAGGATACGAGGTTGTGTAAAGTACATATACAACAAGGATGAAGGTTGAATAAGAGAGAAATTTTGATTTTTGTGACAATTTTGGTAGAGTGGGATATCAGACAAGTCGTTTGAAACTTTATTTCACAATAGCGTGGCGCGTCATATACCGAAGCTACTTTTTTCTTCTTTACTAAAAGCGGTAAAAAGTCAACAATCCCCATGTGAAATATCTTTCCAAAAGCGATTTTAAACCAATCGCCGGGTGTGAAGCTTGAACTACTGAAAGTTTACTGCTTGTCGGCCTTTTCCCCGCCTTTCTAGCCCGTTTAATTTTTACATTCTATACCCTATATCCCTTTGGATGTTTAGTGCTTTATGGGTCTCGAAGGAAGGCTGTCAATGCCAATAGAGTTGTTGCATTAGACAGATGGCCAAATATTCTGAAAGTATTTCAATGCGCCCAAAGCCACAGAATTTCTCGATGCTGGATGGCTCTGCTGCTTTTCCAGAGTGGATTCAGATAGCAGTTACGACATCGACAATTTTTCTAGAAATATATGCATATGTAAGTAAAGAGAGCCGCACCTGTAACGACTTTGTTAATCGCAATTCAAAGGAGAATGGATCATCTCTGTCTGGATCACCGGCAAGTCTAACTTTAACCGTACTTCCAGCACAGCAAATTAGAGTGTATTGAAAAAACCCAATAGGACGATATTTGAATTTCTTAAAAAGCTGAAATAGATAAAGAAAATATCATTGTGGTTATATATGGCTACTATGTGAACCATCAATAAAGCTATTTATGTACATCTTTTGTCGAGAAGAGAATGACAAAATAAATCACATTACATGTTTTCGTACGCTATTCGCTGGATGCATCCCAAATGCATTTAAGTTGCATAAGTCATATTCCTCTATTTGTCAACAGAAATTTCAGATTTATTAAGAGTCACGAAAGTTTGCAGAGGAGTTAACTTTATAAGATAAGCATTCTATCTCACTTAATAAATCCCTACTTGTTGTCTTATTAAAAAATGTCTTTCTAGAAAGCAGCGATATGCTGCATAAGAGCGGTTTATCATTCATCGCTTTGTCGATAAATGAGATTAGTTTCGTAACCTTTAAGTAGTTTTCAAGTTTTAAGATTAAAAGTAAATTAAACCCAGAGTATTAGTGGCTATGAAAACTTCTTCGAGGGCTCTATCTTCAATGGCATAAAATGGGCTACGTATGGGGATATGACGGTGATCAACTCTAACTGTCCGAAGCCTTTCGATTTCCCGAAATGATTTTAACTGTCCAA